AGGAGGAGGAAAGAAGGAAGGAATAGGAGGAGGAAGAAAAGGAGGAAAGAAGAAGGAAGAATAGAAGAAGAAGAAGGAAGAAGAAGAAGAAAAAGAAGACGAAGGAGGAGAGCAAGACAGTGAGAGGAGGAGGGAGAGGAGGAGAGAATGAAGAGGAGGGGAGGACAACTTACGCCTACAGAATCCAGGCATGTTCCTAAGCCACATTCGCATGTTCTTGTATCTCTCCATTCTGTAGAAGGAGTCTCTATGCGGCAAATTGCGTTACTTCTCAGATCCCACACGACTTCCATTATAATCAATATAATATATATAAATATACTAATAGGAATAATTATTATAATTATAATTTCAAATAATGAAATAGATATGATATGGATGGAGATGGAGATAGATGGGTGGATGGATTGGATTGGATGGATGGATAGATAGATAGATGGATGGATGGATGGATAGATAGATGATGGATGGATGGATGGATGGATGGATGGATAGAAGATGGAGATAGATGAGATAGAGACAGATAGATGGATGGATGGATGAAGGGAAGGAAGGGAGAGAGGGAGAGGGAGAGAGAGAAAGACAGGAGAGTTACAGAGAAAACAAAAGAAAAAAGAGAATATGACACGAAAAAATGAGAAAAAATAGAGAGAATGAGAAACAAAGGAATAAAAGAAACGAACGAAAAGAGAGAAAGAGCCCGAGAGAAAATATCAAGCAGAAACAAAAACGCTGCAACCACAGCCGCGTCTTTCCCGTCTCCTGTGGCCGCGCTGCCGTTCAGGACGAAAAAAAAAGAAGGCAAATAAAAAAGACGAGAGAGAACGAACAAAAAGCGAACAAGAAAAATGAAAAAGAGAAATGAAAGAAGACTTCGACTCCGGGAAGAGAGGGAGAGAGAGGGAGAGAGAGGAGGGAGAGAGTGGGGAGAGACAAAGGGACGGTGGGAGGGAAGGAGGGACAGAGAGAGAGGGAAAGAGGGAAAGAGGGAAGGAGGGAGGGGGAGGGAGGGAGGAAGAAAAGATGGAGGGACAGGGGGAGGGAGGGGATAGGGGAGAAGAGAGAAGGAGAGGAAGAAGAAAATTAGGATATTGAAGAGCAGGAGGAGGAGGAAGGAGAAGAAAGAAGAGTAAAGGAGGGAGGGAGGGAGAGAGATAGTGGAGTAGGGTGGAAGAGGAAGGGAAAAGGAGCAGGAGGAGGAGGAGGAGTACGGGAGGAGGGAGGGATGGGAGGGAGGGTGGGAGAGAGGGGGACAGATATGGAGGAAGTGGCAGAGGAGGGGGAGGGAAGAAGGAGGTGGAAGGTGGAGGACGAGGAGGAAGTAAGGGAGGGAGGGTGGGAGAGAGGGGGCGACAGATAGCGTAGGAGGGTGGAAGAGGAGGGGGAGCGAGGAGGAGTAGTAAGGGAATGAGGGGGGCATAGGAGGAGAGGAGGAGGAGGAGGAGGAGGGGAGGAGGAGGAGGAGGAGGAGGAGTAGGGAGGGTGGGAGAGAGGGGGAGAGAGAGGAGGAGGTGGGGGGAGGAGAGGAGGGAGGGTGGCAGAGGAGGGGAGAGGCGGTGGAGGTAGGAGAGGAGGGAGGGGAGAGAGGGGGAGGGCAGGAGGAGGAGAGAGGAGTAAGGGAGGGAGGGTGGCGGTGAGAGGCCGGTGAAGGAGGGTGGAAGAGGAGGGGGGAGGAGAGGGAGGCGAGGAGGAGGGAGGAGGAGGAGGAGGAGGAGGAGGAGAAGAAGGAGAGAGGGAGGGAGGAGAGAGTAGAGGAGGAGGATGGAGGAGGGGGGAGGAGAACGCACTGTACTTCGACCTGGGATTTTACCTGACTGTGCCTCTGACTCATGACTCGCTGAAAGAGCTAAAAGACACAAACTCATGACAAACGAGGAGGCAAAGGTGAGGAAGAGCAAAAGAAGTTATGATAAAAAGGGTAGAAAGAATGAACTGACTCGATAATTGGCAAGCATACCAAACAACAACTAAAAACAGAGTGGGAGAGAGAGAGAGAGAGAGAGAGAGAGAGAGAGAGAGAGAGAGAGAGAGAGAGAGAGAGAGAGAGAGAGAGAGAAGAGAGAGAGAGAGAGAGAGAGAGAGAGAGAGAGAGAGAGAGATAGAGAGACGTGAAATAAAAAGAAAGAATAAAAGAAAACTAGAGAAAACTACGAGAAGGGAATCAGTCAGAGAGAAAAAGCCGAAAAAGAAAAAAGAAAAGAAAAGAATCACCCTACCACACCAAACCTATCCCTCCTTCCATCCCTCTCTTCCTCCTTCCTTCCCCTCCCCCCCTATCTCCCTATTTCCCCTCCTCCTTCCTTCCCCCTCACCCTCTATTTCCCTATCTCCCCTCCTCCTTCCTTTCCCCTCCCCTCTCTCTCCCCTCTCTTCCTTCCCCCCTCTCCCTCCTTCCTCGCCCCCTCTCCCTCCCTCCTTCCCCCTCCCCCCTCTCTCTCCCTCGACCAGCCCACATCTCTTAAAAGGCCCTTAAATATTCATCACCCTTTCAACATCACTCATCACCACCAATCCTCGGAGAGCGGGGGCCGTCGAGGTTGCCTAACTGCATGTTTATATACAATTATGCGAGTGTGCGTGTGTACCCCCTCCTCCCCCCCCCTGCCGTTCAAGTCCTGGGGCGCCCGTTGTCTCTTCCGTCCGTTTTTGGGCGTGGGATTTCGGCCGTTTTGTGGGCGTGGGATTTTCGGCCGTTTTGTGGGCGTGGGATTTCGGCAGGGACAGAGGCATTGGATATTCTTATGATAGTGTGGTGGTGGTGGTGATGGTGGTGGTGAAAATAGAAGTGATGAAGATGATGATAGTAATGATAACGATGACGATGGTGATTATTGATGATGATGATGATGATGATGATGATGATGATGATGATGATGATTATTGATGATGATGATGATGATGATTGAAGATGACGATGATGATTATTGATGATGATGATGATGATGATGATGATGACAGCAATAACATAACTAATATAAATAATAATAATAATGGTAATCATAATAATAGTGCCAATATTAACATTAACAACAATAATAATAACAATAAAAATCATAATATTAATGATAATGACAATAATAATAATAATAAAATAATAACTGACATGATAATGAAAAGGGTGACAATGATGACAAAAATAATATTGATAATAAGCCTGTTTGTTTCAATTGTGCGAGGTCCGACCCAGTGAATATTCGTATATACAGACACGTACATACATAGAAATAAGGACATATCCGTCTATCTATCAGACATAAATACTTCTATCTCACTAACTATAAGGTAGATATGCATGTCTAGTCTGATAGATATGCATTTATTGCCTTGTAGATGCATGTCCGTATATAGAACGTTCATTGGGTCGGGCCAAGAACAATTTCAACAAACCGGCCGCATAACACGATACCAAAAATAACACGGATAACAGTGACGGCAAAGATTCCCTTCCAAATGGCAGCTTCTTTTCCCAAAAACGAAGCCTAACGAAGAAAAAAAAAAAAAAAAAAAAGAAAAAAAAAAACATCGGCCATCCTGATTTTAAAATATCAATCATCTTTTTATTTGACTATGATTTTTTTTTTTTTTTTTTTTTTTAAGGGGATCAAATATAATATTATGCCCGTAAAAACCTTTATTTTGTTTCTCTGTCTCGCTAAAATGGCTGCATTATCCTCACCGTTATTAATGCCCTGACTAATGGCATCATCATCACCATAATCATCATCATCAACAAATAGACGACCAATTTGTTTGAATCATGCGACCCGATGAATAATCACACGCGGAAATACACAGAAATAATAGCATATCTGTCCATCTCTCCGGTAGATACACATTCACCTATCTATCCATCCGGTAGATGTGCATGTCTAGACTGATAGATATGCATTATAGTGTATGTGCACGTCAGTATGATGAGCCTCCTTAGATCCTAACACACCGGCCGATAATCCACGCCGGCGCCATCACCTCCATGTCACCGCCACCTCCCTATGGCCACCATTGCCATCCCCTTATTATCTCCTGTCATTATTTACCCTTATCCTCATCATCATTCTTCATTGCCACCCCTTACCACCCACCTCCCATAGCTACCCCCCCCCCCAATCCACCCCGCAGCCACCTCCCACCCACCCCTTTCACCACCTCCACCACCTCCCCAGCACTCCCTTCACCCATCCACTCCACCTACCTCCCCCATCCACCCTCCACCCATCTCCACTTCCCCAACCGCCCGCCTCCCTACAACCCACCTTCCCCTCCCCCCTCCCCCTCACCCCCCCCTCCCCCTGACGTGCCACTCCCATCCCGACGTGACTTAAAGCTGCGTGGCCGCGACCTCCTTCACACCTCCTGGGGCCGGAGGAAGGGCGGAGGGCGTGGGGGAGGGGAGGGGTTGCGGGGGAGGGTGGAGCAAGGGGCGGGCAGGTAGGGGAGGAAAGTAGGGCAGGGGGTAGAGGAAAGGGGTGACGAGGAGAGGAGGAAGAGGAAGAAGAGAAGAGGGACGGGTGGAGAATACGTAACGGGGGTGGGGTGGGGTGGGGTGGGGAGCATGACCCTAGACAAACACATCCTTCGCGCATCCTATCTCCCACGCCCCACCTGGCACTGCGCCGCCGCCACCTGGGCCCGCCAGCGCCGCCTGGAGGGCAGCGAACACACTACAGAGAGATATGTGTATTGAGTGTGTATGTGTAAAAATATACATATGGTGTGTGGGTATGCTTTTGTGTGTGTGTGTGTGTGTGTGTGTGTGTGTGGTGTGTGTGTGTGTGTGTGTGTGTGTGTGTGTGTGTGTGTGTGTGTGTGTGCGTGTGCGTGTGCGTGTGCGTGTGCGTGTGCGTGTGCGTGTGCGTGTGCGTGAGCGCACGCGTGTGTGTGTGTGTGTTTGTGTGTGTACGTGCGTGCGTGCATGTGTACGTGTGCATTTGTTTGCGTGCGTGCGTTCGTGTCTGTGTGCGTGTGTGAGTGCGTACGGGTTTGCACGTGCAGAAGTCCATACACGTACGCAAAAGCCCGTGAGTACAAGCCCATGAATCCCTCGCTACCGACACACCTACTCACAACCACCAACAAACCGCCATCATCATCATCCAACCCATTCTCTACTTACGGAGCCTGAGCCACTGCATCCGCCTCGAAGTACTTACCTGGAAAAAAAAGGAAAAGCTTAATTAATTCCGATTATTCACCCGCTCAGAACAATTTCACCGCTCGTCAAACATGCCAGGAGCAATCGCACTAATAATATACAAATATTCCACCGAACCATTATTGCTACAAAAGTTTTTATATTTATGGCCCTTACGCATAAAAGCTCATTTCGAGTTTCGTGAGTACATTGACATTAAATATAAATACGATACTTGCGCGCGCACAGACAGAGAGAAAGAGAGAGAACAAGACAGAGAGAGGAAGGGGAGAGGGAGAGAGTGGGAGAAGGACGGAGGGAGAGGGGGAGAGGGGGGAGGGGGAGAGGGGAGGGAGGGAGGGAGGAGGGAGGGAGGAGGGAGGAGAGGGAGGGAGAGAGAGAGAGAGAGAGAGAGAGAGAGAGAGAGAGAGAGAGAGAGAGAGAGAGAGAGAGAGAGAGAGAGAGAGAGAGAGAGAGAGGGAGAGGGAGAGGGAGAGGGAGAGGGAGAGGAGAGGGAGAGGGAGAGGGAAGGGAGAGGGAGAGGGGAAGAGGGGGAGGGAGGGAGGGAAAAAATATCAGCTAAAAATCAGTACAGTGAAAAAACACACACACACACTCAAACACACATGTGCGTGTGTGTGTGCGGCAATTTGGTAATTGTCAAATAAATTAATATTCATGAACAGTGAATAAAACCCAATGAACAGCCTCCAAAAACCGAATTCGGAGAGGAAGGAAGGGAGGAAGAACTCGAAAAATTCCTTAAACTATCCGTCTCTCTCTTTCTCCATCTATCCGTCTATCCGTCTGTCTGTCTGCCTATAAGCCAATCTTTTTGTCTGTCTGTCTGCCTGCCTATATGTCAATCTTTTTGTCTGTCTGTCTGCATATATGTCAATCTGTCTGTCTGTCTATGTCAATCTATCATTTTATGTCAATCTTTCTGTCTATCTGTCTGTCTGCCTATATGCCAACCTTTTTGTCTGTCTGCCTATATGTCAATCTTTCCGTCTGTCTGTCTATATGTCAATCTATCTTTTTATGTCTGTCTTTCTGTCTGTCTGTGTCTGTCAGTCTGTCTCGCCTTCTCACCCAAGTACACGATTCGTGGAGGCGGTTCTGCAGTGTAGTTACAGTACAAGCAAAAAAATACCACGCGCTGTATTCTCTTCCCTGAAAGAACTCCCAAAAAAACAAATTCAGAGAAAATCCAGGACATTTTAGGAAGAATTAAAGTTTCAAAGAAAATCCGTTACCGTGAATTAAAATAAAATAAAAGAAAAATAAACCTCTTGCGTGGAATACATCTTAAAATAATGAAGAATCAACAATACGGGATAACAAAGGCAAACCAATACAATAACATTCACATATACACCAGAGAGTTTGCACAAACACACACACACATGAAAAAAAGCAATCCCACTTAAAACAAACAAACAAACACACACACACACACACACACACACAAACACTCACCCCCCCCCACACACACTCACCCCCACCCCACCCCACACACAGACTCACCCCCCCGACACACAGACTCACCCCCCAACCGACACACACACTCACCCCCCCCCCCGACACACACACGCACACATTCCCCGCAAATCCCCGTCCCAATCAGCCTCCAATCCCCGGAACCCCGACACCGCCTGCATGAGCTTCGCCGAGAGGGGGAACCGACCGACCGGCCGACAGCGGCGTCCGTCGGGTTCCGCGCTGGAGGCTCCCGGCCCTCGGATCTCCGCCGCTTAACACTCCTGTCGGGGGTTGTCACGCCGCTCGCGGTTACGGAGAGGGAGGGAGGGAGGGGGGAGGAGGGAGGGAGGGGAGAGGAGGAGGGAGGAGGGAGGTGTTGCGACGGAAAGAAGGGGAAGGGGGAGGGGAGGAGGGGAGGGGGGGGGGAGGGAGGAAGAGGGAGGGGGAGGGGGAGGGGGGGGAGGGAGGAGGGGGGGACGGGAGGGGAAGGGAGGAGGGGAGGGAGGGTGTTGCGACGAAGAAGGGAGTGGGGAGGGGGGGTTTTGCGACTCACACGCTTGCTTTCTTTTCTCTTGCTTTCGCCTTCACATGCTCTTTCTCTTTCTTTCTTCTATTTTGAATTAGCTCTCACATACTATTTTTTTCTCTTTCTTTCTATGTCTGTCCTCTCTCTTTCTCTCTTTTTCTTTCTCTCCCTCCCTCCCTCTCTCACTTTCTCTCCCTTCCTTCCTCCCTCTTCTTTCTTTTCTCCCTCCCTCTCTTTTTTTCTTCTCTCCCTCCCTCCTTCTCCTTATCCCTCCCTCCCACCCTCTTCCTCCTATTCTCCTTCCCCTGCGCCGCTTTCTATCCTCGCCTGGCTTCCCTCTCCCCCAAAGTCATTCACTCTCCCTCCCGGCTCTGTACCCTGGCCTCTCTCTCTCTCTCTCTCTCTCTCTCTCTCTCTCTCTCTCTCTCTCTCTCTCTCTCTCTCTCTCTCTCTCTCTCTCTCTCTCTCTCTCTCTCTCTCTCTCTCTCTCTCTCTCTCTCTCTCTCTCTCTCTCTCTCTCTCTCTCTCTCTCTCTCTCTCTCTCTCTCTCTCTTCTCTCTCTCTCTCTCTCTCTCTCTCTCTCTCTCTCTCTCTCTCTCTCTCGCACTCGCTCTCTTCTGCCTCTCCCGCCCTTTACTCCTCGTTCTTGGCTGCCTCCTTCCTCCTCTCTCGTCGTCTTTAGTGTCTACAAAGTTTCTTTTCTTTCGCTTTATCTCGCCGTCTTTATTGTTTATACAATTATTCTTCTGTTTCGTTTCCCACCATCTTTGTTTTTTTCCTTCGTCGTTCTTCTCGTTCTTCCTTTTTTCCGTCTACTATCCTTCCTTCCCCTCCTTTCTCTTTATTTGCCTCCTTGTTTCTCCTCTTCGCCCTTGTCTTGTCATCTTCACTTGCCTCCCTAGTCATTTTCTTCTTTTCTCTTCTTCCCTGTATCTATATTTTCCACCCTAGTTCTGTCCTCCCTCTCTTCATCTTTACATACCTCCCTAATCATTTTTGTTTCCTTCTCCCTTCATCTTTATTCGCCTCCTTGATCTTTCTCTTTCTCTCCCACCATTTAGCTTTACATATTTCCCCTATTCCTTCTCCTCATTGCCTACCATCCTTTACTATTTGCCTCTGCTCCTTCTCTTCTCCCTTCCTCCTTTCATCTTTACTACTTCACTGTCCTTTCTTCCTCCAGTCCTCCTCTTTCCCTCCCTCCCTTCAGCCATATTTTCCTCCCTCGTTCTCCCTCCCTCCCCAATCATCTTTCATCCTTCTCTTTCCCTCCATCTGTTCATCTTTATTTGTCTTTTTTCCCTCTCACTGTTTTCTCCCCGTTTCTATTATCTTTCCCTCTCTCATCATCTTTACATACCTCCCTTATCTTCTTCACTTTCCCTCCTTCCCTTTATCTCCATTTGCCTCCCTTTTGCTCCCCATTTCCTTCCTACCATTCACATTTGTTTCCCTATTGCTTCCCATTCCCTTCTTTCCATTTCCCAAGCAATCCCCTCCCTCCTTCTCTTCCTTTTCACTCATCCCCTTCCTCCCTATCTTTCTCCTCCCTCCCTCTCCTCCTCTTACTCTTTCCTCACTCCCTTTTCTTCCCTTCCCACTCCCTACTTCTTCTCTTTCCTCACCCCCATTCTCCCCCTCCCCCTCCCACTCTCTCCTCCTTCTCCTCTTTCCTCACCCCTTTTCTCTCCTCCTCCTCTTCCCCTTTCCTCACGCCCCTTTTCCTTCCCTCCCTCCCTCTCCTTACCCCTCGCCCCGCCCGCCCGCCCCCACCCCCAGGCCCTTAATCTCCTCTTTCCTCACCCCTTTTCTCTCCCTCCTCCCCTTCCCCTTTCCTCAACGCCCCTTTTCCCTCCCTCCCTCCCTCCCCTTACCCCTCGCCCCGCCCCCCACCCCCACCCCAAGGCCCTTCATCCATCAGCGTCTTATCTCGGGCGAGGAAGCGATCCGGCGTCGGGGAGCGAGGAGCGGCGGGGTCTCGTTTGCGGCTGCGGTTACGTCAGTGCATGTGGGTGACCGCAGGAGGGCCGCGGGTGAGTGACGAGAGGGGAGGAGAGCAGGTTAAGGGTACACACGAGAGCTGGGGGGCGTGGAAGGGCGGAGGCGGGGGCGAGGGCGAGGGCGAGGGCGAGGCGAGGGCGAGGGTGAGGGGGGCGAGGGCGAGGGCGAGGGCGAGGGTGAGGGGGGACGAGGGCGAGGGCGAGGGCAAGGGCGAGGCGAGAGTGAGGGGAGGCGAGGGCGAGGGCGAGGGCGAGGCGGGTGAGGGGACGAGGGCGAGGCGAGGAGGCGGGGCACGCGGAAGGCCAAAGAGGGGAGGGGCCGGACGGGTCGGAGGAAAGCAGTTTATATGGGTGTGTCACGCATGGTGTGTTTGTGGAGGGGGGAGGGGGGAGGGCGAGTGGGAGGGGTGGTTGGAAGGAAAGGGGTGAGGCGTGGTTAGAGAAGACCGACTATGCTTGGTGAAACACTAAAGGTTGTGTTACGTTACCGGTGAGTGTTGTGAAACTGTGAGGGTGAATGTGAGAAAAAAAGTGTAGAAACCGGAAGGAGAGATGCAAAACACGGACAAACAGAGACAAACAATTCCCTTGATGAAAGTTCGGTTACACGGGTTTCAATACTGCGGACGAGCCCTCCCGCCCGGCCGCAAGCTCTGCACGGACCCGCACGACGCCGCGGCACCCGGAAGGCGTCGGCGAGCTCACTACTTACCCGCCCGTTGATGTCCCCGCCCCGCCGCCGCCGCCAGGAGCACAGCGCGACGCCAGAGGGAACCAATCGGCCATGCTCACGCCCAGGCATTCCAGCCCCTCGCGCGCCGCCCCTCTTACGTAAGGCTCATGTCCCCGCGGAAGAGCCATCTCGCGTGTCTCGCCCGCGCCCCTTGGGAGGCTGAAGGCGCAATGGGGTCCACCTCCGATTCGCTGCGGCTGACCGCAATGGTATCATTACGCCCGTTGCTCAACAGTGGTCCTGCGTCGCAACAGGAAGTTCGGCGGAGTAGGCAACACCAGAGGCCACGGTGCAGGCCTGGCAATGCCGCGCATAGCACCTGCAACGGCGCTCTATCAGCCATTGATCTGCTGGATCAAGCAGACTAGTTTTTACCAGCTGCGACCCGTGAACGTTCAACCCAAGAGCCCGAGAACGAGCCCAAACACAAGCGCACGGCAACGAAGGCAGCATGATACGCGTCGCACAAAAAGATGAGAAATCACACGATAAGAATGGAAATTAGGGAATATAATGGGAGGCATCCATTTAAGGGCAATGCAAGCGAGTCTCGGAAAAGGGCAAGAGAAGAAACAAAACAACAACAAAAAAACTGACAGGCAATGCGACAAAAACACGAGGGTCCCGCGGACAAGACAAGGACACAGACGAACACACGAACAAGGCGGACACGACCAGATAAGCTAATGAACAAGGAGACAAAACAAAACAAAGAGGACTGCCAGAACGCGCCAACCGCACAACAAACCCGCCGACGCGACAAACAAGACCACAAACAAGAGATACGAACAAACCCGACGAAAAGAGAACCCAATCAAACAAGACAAAACAAAACACACAAACAAACTCCACGAAACAAAACAAACAAAACACACACAACGAAACGATCCCAGGGTGCATGACGGGCGCAGGACGAGGCGCGGGCGGGCAAGAGGCCCAGCAGTCGAGGAGCAAGTCACCCAAGGGCAAAGTGACAAGCTCCCCCCCCCCCCACGCGTCCCCCTAGAGGGCCATGATGAGACAGAAAGCGGCCGCAGCAACAAGGGCCGCCGATCCGCCGCCTCATTCCCGGCAGAGATCAGGATCAGCTGGTACTCAGAGGCGGGCCAAAATATCATGGGAGAAGCGAGCAAAAATAAGGAAGAATTCGGGTGGATAGAACGAAGGAGAGGAGGAGAAAAATGAATAAGAATTCGGGGACAGAACGAAGGAGACGAGGATAAAAATGAATAAGAATTCGGGCGGATAAACGAAAGAGAAGAGGAGAAAAATGAATAAGAATTCGGGCGGATAGAACGAAAGAGAGGAGGAGAAAAATGAATAAGAATTCGGGTGGACAGAACGAAGGAGAGGAGAAAAATGAATAAGAATTCGGGTGGATAGAACGAAAGAGAGGAGGAGAAAAATGAATAAGAACTCGGGCGGATAAACGAAAGAGACGAGGATAAAAATGAATAAGAATTCGGGCGGATAGATCGAAAGAGAAGAGAATAAAAAAATAATTGAGACTTCTGGCTGGATGTAAGAAAAGAGAAGCGAGTAAATTTAGTCCAGAATTCTGGCGGACGAATCGAAAGAGAAAAGAATAAAAAAGAAAATAACTAAGAATTCTGGGTGGATATATCGGAAGAGGAGAGAGCCAAAAATAAGAGTTTAGGTGGATGTATCAAGACAAACTTGGTACCCGTGTGTGGATCTTTTTTGGTGGTAGATCTTTTTTGGTTGGTAGTCCGTACCCGCGTGTGGATCTTTTTTGGTTGGTAATGTGGACTTTTTTGGTCCATTTGGTACCCGAGTGTGGATCTTTTTTGGTCCATTTGGTACCCGAGTGTGGATCTTTTTTGGTCCATTTGGTACCCGAGTGTGGATCTTTTTTGGTTGGTAATCTTTTTTGGGTACCCGAGTGTGGATCTTTTTGGGGTTGTGATCTTTTTGGTCCATTTGGTACCCGAGTGTGGATCTTTTTTGGTCCATTTGGTACCCGCGTGTGGATCTTTTTTGTCCATTGGTACCCGAGTGTGGATCTTTTTGGTCCATTTTGGTACCCATCTTTTTTGGTCCATTTGGTACCCGAGTGTGGATCTTTTTTTGGTCCATTTGGTAGTGGTGGATCTTTTTTGGTCCATTTGGTACCGAGTGTGGATCTTTTTTGGTCCATTGGTACCCGAGTGTGGATCTTTTTTGGTCCATTGGTACCCGAGTGTGGATCTTTTTTTGGTCCATTTGGTACCCGAGTGTGGATCTTTTTTGGTTTGGTACCCGAGTGTGGACCATTGGTACCCGAGTGGATCTTTTTTGGTCCATTTGGTACCGCGTGTGGATCTTTGGTTTTGGTACCCGAGTGTGGATCTTTTTTTGGTCCGGTACCGAGTGTGGATCTTTTTTGGTCCATTTGGTTGTGGATCTTTTTTGGTCCATTTGGTACCCGTGTGGATCTTTTTTGGTCCATTTGGTACCCGGTGTGGATCTTTTTTGGCGTACCCGTGTGGATCTTTTTTTGTCCATTTGGTACCCGAGTGGGATCTTTTTTGGTCCATTTGGTACCCGTGTGGATCTTTTTTGGTCCATTTGGTACCGAGTGTGGATCTTTTTTGGTCCATTTGGTTGTGGATCTTTTTTGGTCCATTTGGTACCCGAGTGTGGATCTTTTTTGGTCCATTTGGTAAAAGTTGTGGATCTTTTTTGGTCCATTTGGTACCCGAGTGTGGATTTTTTTTGGTCCATTTGGTACCCGTGTGGATCTTTTTTGGTCCCATTTGGTACCCGAGTGTGGATCTTTTTTGGTGCATTTGGTACCCGCGTGTGGATCTTTTTTGGTCCATTTGGTACCCGAGTGTGGATCTTTTTTTGTCCATTTGGTACCCCGCGTGTGGATCTTTTTGGTCCATTTGTACCGTGTGTGGATCTTTTTTGGTCCATTTGGTACCCGAGTGTGGATCTTTTTTGGTCCATTTGGTACCGAGTGTGGATCTTTTTTTGGTCCATTTGGTACCCGCGTGTGGATCTTTTTTTGGTCCATTTGGTACCCGGTGTGGATCTTTTTTGGTCTTTTGGTTACCCGAGTGTGGATCTTTTTGGGTCCATTTGGTACCCGAGTGTGGATCTTTTTTGGTACCATTTGGTACCCGAGTGTGGATCTTTTTTGGTCATTGTGGTACGCGTGTGGATCTTTTTTGGGTCCATTTGGTACCCAGTGTGGATCTTTTTGGTCCATTTGGTACCCGTGTGGATCTTTTTTGGTCCATTTGGTACCCCAGTGTGGATCTTTTTTGGTCCATTTGGCCGCGTGTGGATCTTTTTGGTCCACTTGGTACCCTTTTGGTACCGAGTGTGGTTCTTTTTGGTCCATTTGGCCCAGTGTGGATCTTTTTTGTCCATTTTGGTACCCCGTGTGGATCTTTTTTGTTTTGGTACCCGTGTGGAATCTTTTTTGGTCCCTTGTAACCCGAGTGTGGATCTTTTTGGTCCATTTTGGGTACCCGAGTGTGGATCTTTTTTGGTCCACTTGGTACCAGTGTGGATCTTTTTTGGTCCATTTGGTACCCGAGTGTGATCTTTTTTTGGTCCATTTGGTACCCGCGTGTGGATCTTTTTTGTCCATTTGTACCCGAGTGTGGATCTTTTTTGGTGTACCCGCGTGTGGATTTTTTTGGTCCATTTGGTACCCGAGTGTGGATCTTTTTGGTCCATTTGGTACCCGCGTGTGGATCTTTTTTGGTCCATTTGGTACCCGAGTGTGGATCTTTTTTTGGTCCATTTGGTACCCGCGTGTGGATCTTTTTGGTCCACTTGGTAAGTACGCGTGTGTGGATCTTTTTTTGGTCCATTTTGGTACCCGAGTGTGGATCTTTTTTGGTCCATTTGGTACCCGAGTGTGATCTTTTTTGTCATTTGTACCGCGGTGGATCTTTTTTGTCCATTTTGGTACCCGAGTGTGGATCTTTTTTGGTCCATTTGGTACCCGCGTGTGGATCTTTTTGGTCCTTGGTCCCGCGTGTTGGATCTTTTTTGGTTCACTTGGGTACCCCGAGTGTGGATCTTTTTGGGTCCATTTGGTACCCGAGTGTGGATCTTTTTTGGTCCATTTGGTACCCGAGTGTGGATCTTTTTGGTCCATTTGGTACCCGAGTGTGGATCTTTTTTGGTCCATTTGGTACCCGAGTGTGGATCTTTTTTGGTCCATTTGGTACCCGAGTGTGGATCTTTTTGGCCCATTTGGTACCCGCGTGTGGATCGTCCATTTGGACCCGAGTGTGGATCTTTTTTGGTCCATTTGGTACCCGAGTGTGGATCTTTTTTGGTCCATTTGGTACCCGAGTGTGGATCTTATGTTACTTTTATCCGAAACGTTGTGGAATTTTATAATAATGATAATCTAAGACTATTTCCTTCCACTTTTCGTAACGTGTTTTTACACTTTAAATAATTTGACGTCCAAAGACACACAAAAAGAGAAGCAAAGAAGCGAGGAGTTCAGAACGAATAATAAAATTGGGAAAAAGAAACAGGGATAACAGAAACACAGGAGAAAGGAAGAGGGGACGAACAAGGGAGAAGAAAGGGGCAAGAAAGTGGAATCAAAATACAACACACAACCACGGAGATAGAAGCCAAACGCGCACGAAAGAGCACATCAAAATAACAATAATAGCAAAAAAAACACAAAAATCAAATAACAGGAACAACTACAACATCCACACCACCACAACAGCCAGAACACAACAACAACACCGCAGATCAACCGCAGAAGCAACAACAACAACAACGGCGAATCACGACCAAGGAGAAGCGGACACAGAAGTGGTGCAACTAAGCCTAGCGACAACATTGATCGTGAGAGGTGGTTGGGGAGAAAGAGGTGCGGGGAGGGGGGAGGAGGAGGGAAGGAGGGGGGAGGAGGGAGGAGCCAGCGAGGCCCCGTTCCCTCACTCCTCCACTCTCTCTCTTCTCTTCTCTTCTCTCTCTCTCTCTCTCTCTCTCTCTCTCTTCTCTCTCTCTCTCTCTCTCTCTTCTCTCTCTCCTCTCTCTCTCTCTCTCTCTCTCTCTCTCTCTCTCTCTCTCTCTCACCACCACACAAAACCAAATCTACAAAGCTTTCATCACATCGCGATTATTCTCTCTCTCAATT